AAAAAAAAAAAAGTTCCCTGCCCCCGGCAGTAATTACTGTCCATCCTCTATACTTTAATACTTTATAATATAGCTTATTATAGTCATCTTCAAAGTATGTTTCCTAAGAGCACTATGCTCATGAGCTGAACCAAGTTGTACCATCAAAAATTTTAAAGTGATTATGTTCTCCCAATCTGCACAGAAAAAAAAGAAAACCCAACATTTTAGACAGAATCTCTTCAATTAAAGGATAAACTAGGCCTTCTGTACCAACTAGCAAAAATTCAAATGCTGAATACAGCTAAGTAAAATATAGCAACATTTCAGGGTGTTCTGCAAATGATGTCATGATTTCTAGGTGTGCTGACAATGGAACAAGTTTGAAAATCACATTTTAATATATATTATATATAGCATATATATTATCTTCTATCATACCCCAGTGTGTATTTCTTCCTACCATCTTTTAAATATCTTGAGGGTAAGGACTGTCTTGCTTACCCCAAGTCCTAAAACAACACAGGTACTCCATAAATGCCTTATTAACTGAAATCCTTTATCCTGCATTTAAGTATTTACTAAACTTTCCCTAAATAACATTTTTAAAAAATAAATAATGGTAACTACAACAAACAGAATTACATGGAATACCAAGCTCTAACATTCTATAGTTCCACACAACAGACAAAGCCAAACTCTACTACCAAAGATTCAAAATGTTTAAATATTTAGATAAAAATAGATTGAATTACAGACTCTAGAGGGAATTAGACCACAGGGGAGAAATAAGCACCTTGTTAAAATTTCTAGTTAATTTCCAGGTTTTAATCTTAATTTCATATAACAAGTCAACAAAAAATTCAAACTTAGAAGGGTATGAAAATCAGTTTACTACAAAATTCATTCTTATTTCAGTTACTATTTATACTTGGAAATGTCTAAAAAATTTTGAGGCCTCATGATGATGCTTTTGTACTCTTATCTCCAAAGGAAAATAATACTCTGTCAACTAAAAAAACAATTACAAAACGAATGTCTTCAGCTACATTTTAGTCCATTCATTTTAGCCCATTCAGCCTTATTAACCCATTACATGTACCATTCTTTAACAGCAACTTAATTTAGAAGTCAAGAACAATGCTAACAAGGATATATTGTATTCTAGCTTATTTTCACCAAAAGATGATCTTAAATTTAAATAGTCAAAAATAAAATTTTTAAATCATCTTTATTGAGGTCACTGGTGATGCTTCTCCTTTAACTACAGCTTTAAAAACTAGGAAAAGTCATCAATGGCTACATATTAGTCTTACAGCTTTTAAAAATATCATCTTTTTAAAATTAATTTTCAGAAAAGCAAAAATTCTTATTAATATAGGACAATTTCTCAAGCGCTGAGCATAACTTCCTAACCATTAAATATTTTATATTATTTTCCACTTAGTATGTTTTTATCCATTTCTAACGCTAATTGCTATTTCTCACAGCTGCCTCAAATTAATGCAATTTAAAATATAACTTTCTTGAGAACAGATATGTTGTCTAATAGAGAAAATAGTATCTATACGAGTGGGTATCAAAAACTTTATTTTTAATATTAACGTTAAAAAGATGTATTTGGATTTTCAAAATGTGGTAGCACTTTAGCATAGTACACACATCTGCAGCTAAATATGGAATTCATTAGTGCAATTAACCAGTCTTTGGAAACTAAAGCAACATACCTCAGTTGTTTTAGCCCTTGTTCTATCACAAACATTTCATCTATATACTCATACACACACATACATACAGACATATAGATATATAACACCATTGTGATATTTATAAATTATTTATAGATCATATACTTGTAATACTATTATAAACACCACAAAACAAAATGCAAAAATAGAAAATTTTAAAAGGATAAAATAAAAAGATATATTAAAGTTCTAGCGTTTTTTTCCATGACCCCAATATGCAGACCTTCTGAGGTGAAGACACTACTCTGGATACCATACTGTAGCCATACAGAATTACTTGCAATTCCCAGAAACACTATGTTCTTTCATGCCTTGCATTCAGTGTAATTCAGTATTCTGGAACGCCCTCCACCCGCTAGAAAAAAATCCAGTAGCACTGTCCACTCCTTTAAGAGTCTAAGTATAAACTTCTCTTTAATACCTTTTAACTAGTCTCTTTCCCCTTCATTTCTCTTCTCACTCACCATAACAACTTTTATCCCCTCTCTTTCAGATTTAGGTCACCTTCCTCTAAGTTTTCCTTGCACTTAGTACATGCCTTCATTATAGAATCATTACAGTTTATTTTTATCTTTTGTTTCCCTACTCAACTATAAACCACTTAGGGGCAGCGCCTTCATCTGCTATCAGGGACTAGAATGTCTAACTTTAGGAAACACGCAAATATTTGTACCACCAAGTAATCTAATCTAACACCACCATAGTATAGATGAAGAAACCGAGATTCAAGTTATATAATGTGTCCAAGATATTAATGCCATTAGAGCTGCTTTCTAATGACAGTGTGTCATCCTCTTCATCTAAAGTACTTTATTTTCCACTGGTAGTAGTATATGGAGCAGCCATAAGGCTCTACTCCAGAAATTTGAAAATAGTAACAGCAGCTAATTCAGTGCCTTGCAAATATATGCCAGAAGACAGGGGGAAAAAAAAAAACCTTAAATCATTACTTTAGATATTTATAAATAAGTTATCTAAGTCATCTATTTGCTAGAAATAATATTTATGTTCACATACTGCTCTAGAGCATCTATATATCCTAATTTCATTCCCAACAGCTATCACTTATGCTTTTCTTCAAGTTGTGCCCAAAGCAGTTATTTAGCAGTATCTCAGATTTTAGGCTGCTATAGAAAAATTGATTTACCAGTGTCCCCAAACTTAGCAAACCTATTATTTACAGGGGAGCTCTGGTGGTGTAGTGCCTAAGGCATTTGATTGCTAACCAGAAGGCTGGTGATTCAAACCCACTAGCCACTCCTCAGACGGAAGACTGGGCAATCTACTTCTGTAGATACCACAGATTGGAAACCCAAGGAGGGGTGGCTATGAATCAAATCGAATCAACAGCAGCGAGTTTTTTTTTTTTTTCTTATTTTACGTATTATTTACGTATTATTAAATACTAAAGGGAGGCACTCAAACACTGACTATCTCAGATGATCATACTTTTGCTACTAAAATGCAAGAGCTCTACCTCTCTTGGCCTAAGAATGTGAAACAGCATTATGATGTTTATTAATTATATAATATTATAGGTTTAATTTCTAAGTATGAGATCACATGGGAATATAGTATTTGAGCACTAGCCACTGGGAATGATGATTCTAAGCACTGAGAAATCTACCTGAATGTAAAAGAGAAAACAGTCTCCCTGTTCCTTTCCAGGACCCCTGAAATATTTATTATGTCTACAGTGCTTCTGAAAAAGCTTAGAATTCATTTAAATCTATATACTATTTCTTAACACTTTCATGCAGCCTTTCTCTGGCCTAATCTGGATCCTGTTTTCACATCTGTATAACTGGAAGTTTGGACTACATGAACACCAACGTTACTTTCAAGTCAAAAATATATGACTTCAATTCAGAGTATATTTAACTACTCAAAATTAATGACATGCATGAAAGAATTGTTTCTTATGTGAGTTTTAACCATAAAGCACTGTGAACACTGTTGAGTGCTTTGTTAAAATCTACCACACAGGCATACTGTCACTAAAAATGGCACTAAAAGCAATTTACAAAGCAAACTTGTAATTATCTCATTACCAAATAAGTCAACTTTATGAAAGAATTAAAGAAAATTTCTTTAACTGTTTTCAGTGAGAAGTCACTGATTGTCTTGTAAACAAAGACAAATTAAAACTTTGAAAATGAACTTATTTTTAAGTTACTATTATAAGTCAATGACCAAAAAATTGTTAGCATAATTTTTCAGAAGATAGTCTGTAAAAGTGATGTAGAGTTTCAAGCATGAAGGATTCATTTTATTCAAATTAATTCTGCAATGGCTAGCACTTATACTGGCCATATACCCAGCACTGGTGATTTTATATTTATTAACTCACTTAATCCTACCGCAACCCTGTGATGTAGGTACTACTATTATCATTTTACAGATGAGGAAACTGAGGCCAAAAAGGTTAAGTGACACATGTTCAAGTTCATTCAGCTAGTAAACGATCAATTGTATTTGAATTCAACTACCAACAACCTTCAAATATTTTTCTACTCCTGAAGAACTTCCACTGAGAAATTAATTTGGCTCACATCAATTATATAGTGATTATAAAATCAATACATGCATCTTAGTAGCTTCCAGTCTTAGATAACTTCCTTTTATGAAAAAAAAAAAAAAAAGAATTGACTCCAGATATAATGGAAGGAGCATACTAAAAGCCCGGACCACTGAAACTGCTATGATTTCTGGATGAGTAAACATAAGCGTCTAAACTTATTAGAAAGTTGGGTTGCCGTGTTTCCTATTATTGCAAAAATTCGATCTCCCCAGCTGAAATGAGTGCGCCTGAGGAATCAGTAAACATTTAATAACACTCCATAAAACCTGATGGCCGACACGGGGAGAAAAAGAGGCATTTTTTCTAATGGCTTGAAACCACTTTATAAAACCAAACCAAATCACCTTACACGTAAGTCAAAACTCTTATCTAACGATATTTCTCCCTTTAAAAATACCAAAAATAAGTAAATTCGTACTTAAACTGTCTGTAATTTGCGAATCACCTGCCACCTCCCTAAAACTTTTCCTCTGCCTGTGGGAACCAAGTCACTGCACACCGCGCCGTCTCCCCTCGGCCCTCCTCTGGGGCCTAGGCCTGGGGGGGGGGCCCTGCCCGCCGCCCCTCCTCCGGTCCCAGACCCGACGCCGCACCTATCAGCGCCGCCCCCGGCCAGGCCCGGCCCCCCACGGACACGTGTGAGGGTGTGTTTTTGTCGGTCTGTCAGTCCCACCCGGCCGGGGCTCGCTTACCGAGAGAGCAGCGCCAGCTTCTGCTCCAGCATCATCTCAAGCTTCTGGCCTTGCTTGGAAATCCAGTGGTCCACGCCGTGCAGGCGGTAGCACGTCTCCAACATCGACCTGAAGTCTGCCACGAACTCGGTGATACCCGCGTACTGGCCGCGGGAGAACTTCTCCTCCATTTTCAACAGACACATACCTGTCCCGGGCGGCTGGAGAGCACGGCCACCCCGAGTCCCGGCGTACAAGACCTCGGCCGTCTCCTCCTCCCCGCCGGCGACGCCCCCCACGGCCTGTAGAAACGGGGCGGTGAGGCCGCGGTGCTTCTCCTGCAGAAATTCGCCCAGGATCCGGTAGCCCTGCTGCAGCTCGTAGGGTAGCTCCTGCCCCTTGCAGCGTACACCCCCGACCAGCGTCGCCTCCGCCTCCTCATCCCCTCCGGCCTCATCCTCCCGCGCCGCGGCACTCCTCCCTCGGGCCGGCCTGGTAGCCACCGCCTCCTCGTCATCCTCGTCCTCGGCCGTCGGCGGTGGCCGCTCCTCCTCCCCGGCTGGCTCCATATTCCCCAGCGTCTCGGGCGCGCTCATGCCCGCAGCAGGCCCGGGCAGGGTTGTGTGCAGCAGCCGCTCGAGGCGCCGGGGACGCGTGAGCGCGGGCCGCCTCCTCACGGCCGAGCCGCGCCGCGCAGCCCCGGCCGCATCGGCCTCTTTCGCCTCACCGCCGGCTCGGCGCGCAGCGCGCGAGGGTCTCGGCTTGCCGCGGTGGGGCGGGGTTACATGGCGCGCGGGGAGGGGGAGAGGAGAGCCGCGGTGCCCTCCTCCCCCCTCCCCCCGGCGGCAGCGGTGCGCGCGGCCGGCCTCACCCTCTGAGTCCCGCCCGCTCCGCACCGGTCCGCAAGGCCCAACACCCTGGCGCCCCACCCCCTCCCGGGCCAACTGCGGGGCTGGGAGGGGGCTCGCCTCCCTGGAGGGGCCGCAACGCCGGGCAGCGGCGACTACAGCTCCTCCTTCTCTGCCTCACACCCCCTCCCGCCCCCTTCTACCTGCGGGGGACCCGGGCAGGGGGAGGCGGTGCGGACAGGCCCGGCGACAACTGTCAGTTAGAAGCCCCGCTGAGCGGGCGGGGGGGAAGGAGAGGGGAGGGAAAGAGCGAGAAGGGGGAGGGCATTCAGCTACCCCCAGGCGGGCGAGCTGTGGAAAACGGCAAAGAAAGAAGGGCCATCGCCATCCCTATCCTTGATGCGCATGCGTAGTAGAGCAAGTTTTCCCCGCCCCCTGGCGTCCCGCCCCTCGAGGCCAAGGCCGGGGCTTCAGCTCAGCTACAGGCTCTGAGATCTGGTAGGTTGCGCCGACCAATAATGTCATCAGCTGGTGGCGATTGTAAAGGGCGGGGAAAGGAGGAAATAAGGCGCCTGCGCGGCTTTATACACCGCCTCCCGGAGAAGGGGGGCAAAGGACTCTTGAAATCCTGTGCCGAGGAAAGGTTACTATTTTTTGGAGCCCTTTATTAACTTTACTGGTACCAGTATCCTTTTGCATCAAGTCAGTTCCGAGTCATAGCGACTCTATTATGAGTTATTAGCCCTAAAAACTAAAATTAACCCTAAAGGAAGTTGCTAGATGACCTTTGTTAATCACAAATGGACAGTAAGAAAGCACAAAATCCCATACATTCTAAAATTTACATTCCCTTTGCACCACTCCTCCCCCCACCTTGGTTGTGACAGCTGGTTTTTTATATAAATCTAGAATTTTGAAAGGTTTGGAAAGGAAGTTAAGGACTCCCCAACTGAAACATGTTTACATGCAAGGAGGTGATTTATAGAACTCAAGTTGTTATGTTATGTAGCTATCTACAAAAGTTGTTGCAGTTTTGTGCAGTGCAGTCGGCCCGACTCATAGCGGCCCCTCCTTGGGTTTCCGAGGCTGTATCACTACGGAAGTAGATTGCCCAGTAGTTTCTGAAAGTACTGTCCCCAGTTCTTAACATGAATTCATATTTTGGAAACCTCGTGTTTTCCATTAAAATAAAAACTACACTTCCACACTCTCGATTCTTAAAATCTGCTAAGCATAAAAGAAGCGAATGGGCTCTCATTCAAAGAAAAAACATCATTAGGAGTAAAAAAAATGTCTCCAGCTATTTCAAGTCAGTGCTGTACAGCAATAACGTAGCCTTAATCTCACGGTACAGTTTTAAATTACTGATTAAAGGATGAATAAAAAGGGGATTCATCATTCACATAAATTTACATGTTGCTTCAAAGAAGTGGGAAGAACGAGTGGTTCCATAAAGCAGCTGTTACTATTTTTTGTTCTCTTGGAAGGAGGCACATAAAACTTAAGCAGAACCCTTGTTACTTGAAACTTGGAATTATTTGAACACAAAAACAAGATTGTAGAAATCAAGCAAGTAAAAGTTATATTAAAGTGGTCACGATAGTCTAACTCATGAAACTGTTTACTTCTCATTGAGAACTTTGAAGCACTTAAAAAATTCAAAACCTCAAAGCTTTCTTTAAGTAAGTTAAATATTGGTCTTAGGTGAAATAGTATACCAAAACCAAACCAAACCCACTGCAGCTGAGTTCATTCTGACTCATACCAACCCTATAGGACAGAGTGGAACTGTCCCATAGGGTTTCCAAGCTGTTATCTTTACCAGACTGCCACATCTTTCTCCTGAGGAGTTGCTGATGGGTTCAAACCTCCATCCTTTCAGTTAGCAGCACCACCAGGGCTCCTATCAGATCGAACATCCCTAATTTCCTCTGATAAAGCTTCATAATCCAAAACCCACCTTACCCAAGCAAATATCACCTCCTTCTCCTCCTCTTTGGCCACCAACTCTATTTCATGACTCTGATACTAGCTTCCATTACTAAACCCTGGACCATCAAGCACTTTACATTCATTATCTCCTTTATTTCTCACAATCATCATCTGGGTATTATCCTCATTTTACAGGTGGGAAAATATTAAGAAAGTAGTTTGTCAAACTTCAAATCTAGTTCTGTCACACCTCAAAAACTCTGGGTGCCTGTTTCAAAGTCACCTGGTAAAATTTCCAGTTCCTCATGCACAAGAATGTAGGCAATTACTAGAAATGTGGATCAAGGGCTTTTTAATTAAGGGATATAAAAGAGCAAGAGGTACACAGAGTAGATGGACCTCAATTCTACTTCATGAAGAAGTCAAGATGATAGGAATAGCTATTACAATAGCAAGATAGGCCCTGTAATTTTTATACGAACTATAAACTATAGGAATTTATAAGAACTATGTTATTGTAGATAAATACAAAAACATGAGTAAGTGAAAAAAAAAAGCCATTTAGCGCTACCTCCCAAAGATAACTTCTTTTAATATTTTGTAGTGGAATTTTTCTAGATACTCATCTATCTTTTTTTTTTTTTTTTCCTTCATGCTCAGTCTACCCTCTAGTTAGTGGTTTACCCTCCCTTCCCCACTCACCCCTGATAACCATCAAAGAATATTTCTTTTTCTGTGAAACTCTTCTTGACTTTTTACAATAGTGGTGTCATACAGTGTTTGTTCCTTTGTGATTAACTAATTTCACTCAGCATAATGGCCTCTAAGTTCATCCACATTGTTTCATAGACTCATCACTGTTCTTTAACATTGTATAGTATTCCATTGTGTTTAACTACCACAGTTTGTTGATCCATTCCTCCACTGATGGGCATTTAGGTTGTTTCCATCTTTTTGCTAGTGTGAACAGTGTTGCAATGATAATGGATGTTCATATATCCATTTGTATCACAGCTCTGCTTTCTCTAGGATACATACCTAGTAGTGGGATCATATATTTCTTTTTCCAAGTTTTTAAGGAATACCATACCATTTTCCACAGTGATTGCACCATATTATTCATTTATACTTTTATCTTAAATAAACTTAACAAAACTGTGGACCAATAGCACAGAATGCCTTAACTTTCTTTTTTAAATAACAAATAATTATAACTAATAAATTATTGTATGGACTGGACAGGAATTGCATTTCTAAAATCTCAATTTTGCATTTCTGTTCACAATGACTAGTGGCCTGCCCCTCTGAAATGGTAGTTGGTGAGTCAGGAAGATCCTAATGTAAAAGGAATTCCAAACCATAACAAAAAATACAGGAGAGGTACAAACCACAACAATAGCAGCTACCATTTATTCAACACTTAATGAGGTCTTAAACATTTGTTCAATATTTCACGTACACAGTACTCACAAAAGCCCCAGGAAATCATGATAGATGTAGTTCTTTTTTAATTTAGGAAGTAATGATTTGCTGAGTAGAAAGCTTTTTTCCTATCTTACCAAAAGCTGGACATTAAAGACCAACATTCAAATTAATATAATTAACCCTAGATTTATAGAAATCTAGGAAAGATTTTCTTATAATGCATAGCTACTGCTAAATATCTGGTCTAAAACCGTTTTCTTTTTCATGTTTAAAATTAAATTAACTTTCTTTCCTTTTTGATTTCACAATAGAATACTATTCAGTGCTACTACAGAATCTATTAGGAACTTCTTCAAAATAGTAATCTATTTAAGCCCCATTCTAAACCAGGGCTTCTCTTCTTGAGCTGTTTTGCAGGGTGGAAAATGACATAAACAAAATGATACTCTGCTAAAACACATAACACTAATTGACTCTTTCCACAAATACTAAGTACTTACTATCTGTCAAACACTGTTTCAATATGTTACATGCTACCATTGTTAGATGTACTAGGATTCCCTTTTCAGTAACTGTGGTCTTGGAATCCAGGATAACTTAAAAAGTAGAGAACAGTCTAGCTAAGATTTTAAAAGTTCTTTAAACTCTCAGCTAGATACTTTGAGATTAGAATGAATATGTCCCACCCAGTGCCAGGAGTACATTATGAATTCACCACACCCACAGCAACATCTCAAAAATGTCTTCCAATTTCAGCATCCTTTCATTACCATGACAACCAGGAGTATTATCAAGGACTAAGCCTGCCACTATATCCTCCACCTACAATTCCAAGGACGTTTGTCCCGAAAGTTCTATCACAAATTAGTTCTTAGCATCTTGTTATATTCAACATGACATCTTGACACCAACTATATTCCTTGCTCAGCATCAATAGTTCAGACAAACAGCAAAAACTTATATACTTCATATCAATTTTAGGAAAGGTGACAAACATTCAAAGACAACAGAAGCAGAGATTATCACCTAGGCTCTATGTTTCTAAGAGATGAAACATGCAAGATGAACAGAAGGTTGTAACACTGACTAATCCTGGAGAAATGTGGGGAAGAAATATAAACTGCTTGAGCAGGGAGAGAATAGTTCTCTCAATTATAATGGAATCCACCCCTAACGTGTGGAATTACTTTTATGGCAAATGATACTCAAGTGATATTAAAGTGCTTCACGCAAAGTTTAGCAACTCCCGTAAGGCTGCCTGCTGTTCCTCATCAAGTTGGGATATACATTCCAACCATAATTCTTCATCAGTCTGTACCTGGCGTACAACATTAGCTAGGCGTTTGCCACACGGATCTTCACAGTTGATAGTCTCATTAATTTTTCCTTCAGCAATTATACTGATTATTTTGGGAAGATTGGAGTTATTTGGACCAAGTACAATTGGATGGTTATTTTCAATTAAGTCACAAAGAAAACTCAAAGTTTGAAGAGCTTCCTCTTTATCCTCATGCAGTGGAAGCCATGATAACCAATGTGGAAGAACCTCATCCACATTTACACAGTTAGGCTTAAACCTCAAAATCTTCCCTATTGCTGAGATACAGTTCTCTGTAGCAATAACATTCTTTTTGGTTTTAGAATTCGCACACTTAATAACTTTTACCAGCAGTGGAACAGCTTCTGAACATAAAGAACGATAATCATCTCCACCAAACTGTGCCATAACTCCCAGGCCATAAGCAGCAGCTTGCCTGACTTCAGGGTTGTTATCACGCATATTTAGTAGCATTGGCCACCGAAAATATTCAACATATTTAAATGAGGTCGGACTGCAGTGCTCTATGATATCATCAAATATGCACAGTCCCCATTGTCTGTCTGGCCATGGCCTACTTGAACAAATTAGATTTACAATTAATGGAAGGAGCTGTTCAAACCACGGTAAAATCTTTTCCTTATAGGTACTAAATAATGAGTGCAAAATATCTGATACTTTGGTTAGAATATAAACATCACATTCATCCTCATCTTGCAGAGACATTTCAATCTGCTGGTCATAATTTTCTTCCTGCCTTTTAACCTGTCGCAGTTCTTGGTTTTTGAAGTGTCCTTCAAGCTTTGCTTTCAAAATTCCTCCCAGTTCTTCCAAGTGCTCATCATTGAGGCATCCATCTCCCATTACTTCAACAGACTTCGCAAAAGAATTCATTATTTCTGAGAGTACATCAGCATCAGGTTCCGTCCCAATAGCTTTGATTAAAGGATCACATATGAATTGCCATATCTGTGCAAGATACTCTGGCCCATTAATTTTTGCACATTCTAGCAGAAAAGGCATGGACTCTGCTGCTGCCACTCGAACATTGTCATGGAAATAAAATTTCAGTAAGGGAACCATCAGCTTCACAACATGTTCTGTATATTCTACAAATCCTTCCCTTAACTCCTTAGCATAGTAAACCAACATCTGGCAAGCAGTTGCTTTTGCTTCAAGTCCTGAAGTTTTAATTCCAAAACTTTGCTGATCTCCAAGATTTACAAACTGCCAGCCATCATCATCACTCATATTCTCCACATCCTGTGTGTCTAAGAGAGCGACATCAGGTTTAGCTGAAGCAGTCTTAATAAGAGGCTCAATTACCAATGGAAGGTACTGCTGAAAATCTTTTCCAAGAATTTTACACATTCTAGCCCATGCTAAAACCATGTAAGAGATCTGAGGGTCATCATCTTCCATATTATTTAAGTCTGATTGTGTCTTCAACAATAGCTGCATCACATTGGAAGCATCTTGCATAAATTTTTCCTTCCCAACAGCAAGACCAACATGGCTGATACATTCAATAGTCTTTCCTCTCAGAAGCTTGAGTTCCTTTTGAACAGCAAGCTCAACAATGTGCTTTAGAGAAGGCATAAATATATCATAGTATGGAACAAATTCTTCTTCTATTGTATCTGCCACTGAAGCAATGGTTGTCACAAGCTGTTCCAAAGCCAACTTTGTTCCATTCCGAATCAACTCTTGCAGTTTAATCACCAAGATGGAATGTAAATTTTTCACCATGCTATCTAAATATAGAGCTAACAATGATTTAGGGCAGTCTTCAATAAAAATAATAAGAGCAGAAGCTGCATGTGATTGCACACGCTGATTACCTTGATTTTCCATGGTACGCAACAAAGCTGCAATCACTGTTTCATGGAATTTCTTTTGGAAATTAGGTGCAAAATCCGTAGCCATCTGTCCAAGTGTAGTACAGGCTGCAGCCCTCACTCTTGGATGAGGATCCTGAAGAAAATGCAAAACAGAGTTAACCATTTCATCTAGAGTTGATTCCATTTGCTGGTGGCATCCTTCTCCAATGGCAGATAAAGCCATTAATCCAGCATGCCGATATTTCCAGTCAGGGCTCTGAAGCATCTGCATGATATGCTCCTTGGTCATTGGTAAAACAACTTTTCCACCGAGCCCACAAGCAAGTCTGTCTAGTGCACTCTCAGCAGCAACTGCATTGCTATCAAAATCATCTTCTTCCATTTCATCAGCATTTACCCAGTCCTCATCATCTTGTAGATCAACCATCATTGCTAATATATGAGGAACAGCCTGGGCAATAATATTTGTATGTTTTTTCAACATTGGGGTTGCCGTTTCAGACAAGGTCACTATTACTTCGAGAGCCAGCTGACGCTGCAGATTACTAAGCCTAGAGTCGCCACATAACTTTAGGCTCAGCTGCAGAGTGTCTTCTAAATAAGGACCCAAGTATTTAGGAACAGTATCTGCAATCTCAACAAGAGATTCCAGGACGGAATCATCATCCTGGTAGCATGAGTCATTCACAGCCTGTAAGATTCCAGGAAGCAAGTCTGCAAAGTCTTTGAAGAGAGTGACATTATTCTCATTAGCAAGTACAAATGCAGCTGCAGCTCTAGCAGATAATGTCCTGATGGCTGGATGCTCTTGGTCTTGAATACACTGGTCCAACAACCGTTTGATGATATCCAAATCATGCCGCTCTTGGTTCCCAAAAATCCCAGGAAAGTGCCAGAAAACGTGAAGTGCAACTTCCCATAGAACCACATTTTTAGAGTAGATGGAATCAATTAGGAATTTCAGACCCTCGGGCCAGTGGTTAGTGCCGTCCTCATCTATCAAATTCCTGGCCAGCACCGCAAAAATATCGCAAAGTTTTTTCCTCATGCTAGCATGTGTTTCTAACTTAACAGCCAATATCAGTTCAATCTTGACGTCCCTCTGAACATCAGGAGGTAGATTTGGATAGACTTCCTCAAACCCAGAGGACAAAAGCCGTCTTAACAGTGCGGCAGCCATTTGTCTCACCTCATAACCCGCTCTTCTATTTCTGACGGCATCTATAAGGAACGTAGTCTTACACAGACCTGGGATATTTTCATAGATCTCCTCGGCCTGCCTCCGCACCATACAGCTTGGATTGATCAGGTTCTTCAGAAGCTGATAAAACTCTTGCTTTTCCGACACGGCAGCCGTTACCGCTGCAGCCCCAGTCGCCGCCATCGCGTTCTGTCAAAACCAGCGCGACAGGGGCAGAAGGAAGGGACTGCTGCTCCGACCACTGACGTAGACAGCGCGCCAGCGTAGATGGGCGGAAGCGCTTCTCCTTCCGCTTGCCGGGGCTCTCAGGCTGGGACGTAGAGTGGGAGACTGGAAGTGGGCAAGTGGTTGTGGGGTAACCTCCATTTGTTTTCCGCTTAGCTGCAAATAATGTACTTGCATAAGAAGAAAAATATATATATATATATATATAATATGGATTGTATTCGAGTGAAATTTTGACTGATTTTACCCTTTTCTTTTCCTTAGTTCTAATATGTGCACTTGTTTCCTTGGTAATTTAAAATACTAAGTACACCTTGTAGATATGGTTAAGTGCAAGAAGCTGGTGACAAAAGACAATATATTATATAAATCCATGTATAGGAAAGGTCCTGAATAGGCAACTCTATAGAGATAGAGGTATATGAGTGGTTTTCTAGGAATATCTACTGCCATCGAGTGGTTTCTAACTCATAGCGAGCCCATTAAGTTTCCAAGGCTCTAACTCTTTAGGGAACTAGATTGCCTTATTTTCCTCCAGCGGAGCAGCTGGTGGGTTTGAACCACCGGCTTCTGGTTAGCGGCCAAATGCCTTACCCACTATGCCACTAGAGCTCCTTTTTCTAGGAATGGAATGGAGAAGTGGGGAGTGACTGCTAATACGGTTTCTTTTTTGCAAATTTGTTTCCTATTCAACAGTTTACACCCATTTTGTTTCATGACATTAGTTGCAATTCCCTCAGTTTGTAAGAGCGCTTTTCCCACTTCCTCCCTGGTTCCCAATTTCCAATTATCCATCTTTCCTGCCTTCTGAACTTTGTTTTTGGGTAAATGCTGCCCTTTTATTCTCATGGTTGATTGCTCTGAAGAGCATGTTCCTCACGGTGTTATTGTTCACTTTACAGGCCTGTCTATTGTTTGGCTGAAAGGTGGTATCTGGGAGTCGGTTCCCTTCCAGGTTTTTGAATAGTGTCTAAGGGTCATTCATGGTCTTGGGGGTTCTACATCTCTATAAGACCAGTGAGTCTAACTTTTTTTTTTTTTTTTGAATTTTGAATTTAGTTCTGCATTTTTCTCTCCACTAAGACCTATTGTGATCCCAATCAGAGTGTTGATAGTGGTAGCCAGCCATCATCTAGCTCTGGTCTCAGGCTATAGTGGAGACTGTAGTTTGTAGTCCTTTGGACTAATTTTTTCCTTGAGTCTTTGATTTTAAGAGCTTGCAAGCTTTTAAGACCTCAGTTGCTACTCATCAAAGTAGGATGTAGAACATTGTCGTTATGGACTATGTTGTGCCACATCTTTCTCCTGTGGAGCAGCTGGTGCGTTTGAACTGCCAGCCTTTAGTAGCTGAGCGCTTAGCCACTGTGCTACCAGTCCTGATGGTTCATCAGTTAAGCACTCAGCTGCTAACTGAACGGTTGGCAGTTCAAACCCACCCAGTGACTCTGTGAGAGAAAGTATGTAAAAATCTCCCATAAAGATTGAAGCCTAGAAAACCCTACAGGACAGTTCTCCTCTGTCGCATGGGACCACTATGAGTGAAAATCAACTTGATAGCACCTAACAACAAAAGAATTTCCTTTTTCTGAAGTATCATCTATTTCTCCATACTTCCCCATAATTACTCCTCTGGTTTTGCAACATGACCATAGACCTTCACTTATTGCAAAATCTGCCTTAAACTTCTCCAGGCAGGCTTAATTTGAATTATGTAAAATGCTGCTGTATATATCTGCAAAGATAGAAAATCACAGCTTCAGCATTAATGAGATAACAGACAAAGCAGGAAGGGGCAGTGGCAGTTTAGTGGTAGGATTCTTGACTTCCATGTGGGAGACACCAGTTCAATTCTCAGCCAATGCACCTCATCCACAACCACTGCTCATCTGTCAGTGGCGGCTTGCATGTTGCTATGATGATAAACAGGTTTCAAGCAGAGTCTCCAGACTAAGACAGAGTAGACCTGGCAATCAATTGTGAAAAGTCAGCCAGTTTGAACCTGCAGGCTTGGGACCATAGTCACAGGGGACATCAAGCTCAATTG